TATATATATATATATATATATATATATATATATATATATATATATATATATATATATTAGGGTGGTTCTTATTTACTCTTGGTCAAAATTTTTTTTTCGAATTTTTTCCGCGGCACCCTCCAAAAAGTTTTCATTTAACAAAAAAATAATTCCTATCAAGTTTGAGTTCGATCGGATAACGAGAACCCATGCTCCCAGATCGTTAAACAATGGAATACTCTTGTATTAAGCTGTCTACGTTATCAATATAGTTTTTAAAATATCTTTTCCACAAAAATCACCCTAGAGGATTTTCCTTTTTCTTTCTACATCGTTTCAGATCTTATAATCTCATTTAAACAATTAGACAAATTGTTGAAGATTAAAAAATAAAAATAAATAGTTATTGCGTTTATTGTTTGAGCTACAACAAATCAAGGACCATAAAAGCAATAGTATGTTTGAAGGACAATATAAATATAAAACATAATATCTTTCATGTTTTTATTAATAAAAAAACATTTTTAATTAAATATTACATAATAATTAATAATCTCATGGCTCCTAATTTTATGTTGGGAGGGAAGATGTACAGTCTGATAAGAGCGTGTATGGCAAAACTTGATAAATAATTTATTGAAACAATTTGGAATAAAATACACACATACTACTTGATTAGAATTGTGATGTTTTATTATTAATAACTTGTCCAATCGCCTTCATTATTAATAATTGCCTGGCATCTCCAAGGCATACTTTCAACTAAGTTTATAGCATATTCTTGAGGTAAAGATCTCCATATCAATCAAATTTGTCGAACTAACTCCTTGACCAACCAAATTTTCTTTCCATGAAGTTTAAACTTCATCAAGAACCAAACGTTTTCGATAGGATTTGCATTCGGTGACTGTAACGGCCAATCCAGCAAAATAATTCAACATTATTTTTTTATTTCCACGTAACTTCGATGTTTAGGATCATTATCCTCTTGTAGTATTCATTTTTCGTTTTTTTTTTTATAAACCATGTTTGAGTAGATAGTAATAAAGCCTTCTTCTAAATTTTGACCATTTTGCTAGCGTTTAAGTTGTTTGTGAAGATATGTAAAGTGTTAAATCCTTGCATATAGGATTCCACGTTTCGGTAAGTTATCGACATTTTTCACCTCTAAGTAGCGACTCACCCACTTATTTACAAATGCTTTTGACTTTCTCATGTACTTAACAGCCGCTTGGCGTGACATTTTTGGTCCTTTTGGATGTGTACAAAGAAACACGATTTTGAAACACGATGTGTATTTAGCACTTATGGCGAAATATATATTTTTATCACGAAGATCGAATGACAACTAAACTGCTTTATCAACAAAGCATCTTAAGCGAAAGGTGTCTCTACCGGCTCCTGTTTGAATTTCCCGTTTACCCGTTTATATGTAAAAGTTTTTTCAGACACGCTCTTATCAAACAGATTGTATAATACCTAGGCCGCGGGTGCGCAACGTTTCCCATTGTCTGAACGTGTCAAACAATATAAAGGAATAGCATTCTTTCGGTAAAAAGTCTGTCTCTTTCTAACGAAGGCTGCTTTATTCCGGCCACAAAACCACAAAATGATAAGTGGTAGGAATAAAAGCTTTCGTTAGAAAGAGACAGACTTTTTACAGAAAGAATGCCATTTCTTTATATTGTTTGACGTGTATAGACAATAGGAAACGTTGCGAATCCGCGGCCTAGGTTATATTAGGTCTATAACTTGAAACCCGCTCTCTAGCGATAAATAGCTATAGCTTTGACAATCGTCAACTGTAATGGCTGAACAAGGCATCATTTATAGTTATGACCTTTGTCAATAATATTCAGTATATAAAAATTTGTGTTCGTGACAACAACATAGTTATTTTACTGCGAAGAAAATGTCTGAATTTCAAATAAACATTATTTGCGCGAAGCTTTGCTATTTCAATTTGAAGGAAACTGCTGCTGAATCTCATCGAATGCTTGTTGAAACTTATAGAAAACTTGCTCTATCGGAAACAACTTGCAAGGAATGATTTCGACAATTCAAACTTGGTAATTTTGACACGAATGATAAAGAACGCCCAGACCAGTAAAAAAATTCGAAGATACAGGATTGCAAGCATTAGTTGATGGAGATCCATGTCAAACGAAATCAACTTGCAGAAACGTTGAATGTTACTCAAGCAGCCATTTCCAAGCGTTTAAAAGCCATGGGAAAGGTTTACAAGGAAGGAAAATGGGTGCCATACCCTTATAGAAATATCATACTAAGAATCATTGATAATTACTTGTTTTCAGTATTAAAAATACTGGATAATAAGTAATTATCAATGATTCTTAGTATGATATTTCTATAAGGGTATGAATTGAAAGAAAGAGATATCGAAAGGTGAAAAACCATCTCCGAAATGCTGCTTGCCAGGCAAAAAAGAAAGGTGTTCTTGCATCGAATTGTGACTGGCGATGAAAAGTGGATCTATTTCGATAACCCTAAACGCCCAAAAACCATTTGCGACTCAGGCCAACCATCGACGTCGACGCCAAAACGTAATATTCATGGGAAGAAGACCATGCTCTGTATTTGGTGGGACCAGAAGAGTGTGGTATATTGTGGTATAGTGTAAAATACTGAAACCTGGTTAAACAGTCACAGGGGATCTCTACCAACAGTAAATAATCCGTTTGAGCCAAACATTGCGCAAAAAACGATCAGAATATAAGACAAGACAGCATAAAGTGATCTTGTTTCATGAGTGTATGCGTATTCCCTGCCGTGCTGATGCGTGCTACTTGGGAGTCAAAGTTTCTATCACTGCTAACAAGTACTATTCTAAGTCCTATTGATGTGAAACATTACTGAATTTGAAATACAAATAACAAAAATAACTAGTAAATAAGTAAAAAATATTATGTTATATTCGTAATATTTTTGAAATATTGCTACAATATTGTTAAAGTAATATTACAAATTAATGTCACTGCAATGTCTCTGCAACATTGCACTGCAATATGCAATCTTGCACTGCAATATGCAATCTTGCAAAAATATTAGCAACAATCTTGCAACAATCTTGAAGCAATATTACTGCAAACTTCTATTGTATGGAGCATTGCTGAGATTCGAACCTGAGATCTCTGGTTCTTGAGTCGTTTACCTTAACTACTGCACCACTGTCACTTTGACTGAGAGACGCTTCGTATTGTATACACATGGTATATCCATGAACGAAAACATATGATTTATTTAAAAGAAGAGAATAGATCCTTTTAAATGTAAAAAGTATGTTTTTAAAAAGTACACCCAAAAAAAAATATTCTACGCTTGATCTCACATCATTAAAGCTGTCAAGGAAACATTGGAAGCATTTCGTTGGGAAGTGCTACCCCATGCAACTTATTCATCAGACTGTGTCCCTTCCGACTACTTGTTTCGGTTAATGGCACACGCACAGAGGAATATTTCAACTCTTATGAAAGCATCGAAAAATGGATCTCTAACTGGATAGCTTCTAAAGATGAGTTCGAGTAACTAGATAAAAGAAAAAAAAATAATTTCCGCGGACACAATAAAATTATGTGTGATGTTGAGGCGACACACACGAAATTCTGGGACGACACGTTCTCGAGTGACACAGTTCTTCGTCATCACTTTACTAAATAAATCTCACAAAGAAAAAATACTGCAATAAAAATGTCTTCGTCCTTTCGCCGTGGGATCCGCTTATTACCAGAAAGATGGAAAAAAGTTATATCTAACCATGGCCAATACTTTGATTGGTGTTCTTTTGTTTCTTAAATAAAGGCTTAATTTTTGCAAAAAAAGAGGGTTTCAAGTTATAGACCTAATACATCTATAGTCCCCTCCCAGCATAAGATTAGGAGCCACGAGATTATTAATTCTTATATTTAATAAAATTCTTATAGTTAATAACTCTTAATATTTAATAAAAAAATTTTTTTATTAATAAAAA